GATGATGCAGCCATCTTTTAATTAATTATTTATTTATTTGAAAAATCATTTTATTGGGGCTCATACAACTCTTATCACAATTCATACATCCATTCATTGTGTCAAGCACATTTGAACATTTATTGCCATCATCATTTTCAAAACTTTTTCTTTCTACTTGAGCCCTTGGTATCAGCTCCTGATTTTCCCCCTCCCTCCCTCACTCTTCCTCTCTCACGAACCTTTGATAATTTATAAATTTGTTTTTCATGTCTTACACTGACTGACGTTTCCCTTCACCCACTTTTCTGTTGTCCATCCCCCTGGGAGGGGGTTATAGGTAGATCATTGTCATCAGTTCCCCCTATCTCCCCCCACCTTCCCCTTCACCTCCCAGTATCACCACTGGTCCTGAAGGGATCATCTGTGCTGGATTCCCTGTGTTTCCAGTTCCTATCTGTACCAGTGTACATCCTCTGTTCTAGCCATGTTTGTAAGGTAGAATTGGGATCATGATACTACGGGGGGTGGGAGGTGGGGTGGAGAAAGCATTCAAGAACTAGAGGAAAGTTTTATGTTTCATCATTGCTATACTGCACCCTGACTGGCTCATCTCCTCCTGTGACCCTTCCATAAGGGGATGTCCAGCTGCCTACAGATGGGCTTTGGGTCTCCACTCCGCACTCCCCCTCATTCATAATGATATGATTTTTTGTTCTGGGTCTTGCAGCCATCTTTTAACCATGAGGTCATAGGGGAGAAATAAAAAGAACTTGGGGTCTTGGTGATATTGTTGAGTCATTGGTTTTGTCTAACCTGGAGTCTACATTCTTTAGAAAATTGTCATTTGGTAATAAATTATTGTTTAGCTCCATTTTATAATACTTGCTGATAAAGGCATCTTAAGTGATAGATGACTCAGACTCCTTTCTTCATCCAAGACCCCTCAAACCTTCCATTTTAGATGAACAATTGCCTCTCAGATATTTCTGTTTGGAATCTTAGACACACCTTTATCTTGTCTGCTTGAATCCATCATTTCTCTCTTTCTAAACTTGCTATTCCATTCAAATTTCCCATCTTGAGTGATGGCATTACTCAACACTCTCAACAGCAACATTAGAGTTCTTCCTGACTCTCCTCTAGTTCACCTCCCAGATCACTGAGGACTTACCAACTTCTACCACCCTCCTGCAGTAAACCCAGAGCTTCATCTTCACCATGATAAGAGCAATATTCTCCAAAGTCACTTTTATGTGTCCAACCCGCTCCATAAACCCCATATCTAAACCCAATCCATCCCAAAGAGCCACTTGCACGGACACCTCACCCTGACTTAGGGAATACAATCTAAGTCCCTTGACCAGCCATGTTCTCATAGTCGTTCATTGACCCATCAAACATTTATTGATCACTGACATACGAGGGATGCTGAGGATAGAAGCACAGTGCCTGCCTTGGGGAGTTTATAGTAAGTCTATCAGGGACGACCTCTAGCACAAGACCTCTTGAAAGTGTTGAAAAGCAAACATGTTACTCTGAGGACGAAGGTGTGCTTGTATTTTCAACTGCCCCATAGGCATGTAAATTAGGAAGAGGGAAGAAGAATCGATGCATTGGATTGTGGTGCAGGTGGAGAACATCTTCTCCAGGCACTGCCAAGAGCGTGAACACATCAGTCTCAGAAGAAGTGCAGCCGATGCTCCTTTGAGGCAAGGATGGTGAGACTCCTTCTCATGTACTGTGGACAGGTTGTCTGTGGAGAAGGACATCATGCTTGGTAAAGGAGAGGGGCAGTGAGCAAGGAGGAGGGCCAGAAGCTGATGGATTGCCACAATGGCTGCAACAATGGGCTGAAACTTAATGGCCACTGCGAGTACGACGCAGGACGGGCAGGATTTTGTTCTGTTGTACATATGGTCACTATGAGTTGGAACCTTCTCGGTGGCATCTATCAACAACAACAACAACAAAGAAAGCAAGCCATTTTCTTTCTTACTACCTCATGAAATAGGGGGATATATCGATAGCCGTATAGATAGATAGATTCATGTATATTTGGACATGAACTTTAGGGAAAATCTAAGAATCACATAAAATATGTAACAATATATTGGTAGTGCTCCCAGTTGGTCCTGACCCACAGCAAGCACAGTCTATTGGAATGAGACCCAGCCTGTGCCACCCTCACCATTGTTGAGAGATTTGAGCCCATGGTGTGGCCACGGGGTCAATCCATCTCGGTGTCAATCATCTTTTTTATTTTCACTGACATGCTAATAAACACGATGCACTTTTATATCATGGTTGATTATAAACTACTTTACCAAGGGTTTTTTTTTAAATGAAGTCAATAGTAAGGCATAATAAATGCCAAGCAGGAGCCCTGGTGGTGTGGTGGATTACCAGTGAACCTGAAAACTGCGAGGGCAGCAGTCACTCCACAGCAGAAAGACGAGGCTTTCCGTTCCTGCGCAGAAGTACAGTTCCAGACACCCACAGTGGGCAGTTCTACTCGGTCCTATGGGATCGCTGTGCGTTGGGATTGACTTGATGGCAGTGTATTTGCTTCGGAGTTTTGCTCATATGTTAAACATGGTGTTACTACTCAATTTTATTATTTCAGCAAAGCCTTATAAGGCATATGATCTTGCACAACTGAGGGATCACATGGGCCTTGTTCTTTGAGTGTCCATGTGTAGTTTATTTAAACAGAAATTGTCTTATCAACACAGAAGTGGACAAATGTCAGAAAATCATGAACATTTGTTTTATTAAAAAGTATTTTAATGGTTTGCTTAAAAATCTACCAGTAGGAAATACTCTAGAAAGACTAAGCACTAGGAATATAATCCAATTCCAAGTTAGAAGTAGTAAGATAAAGTTAAAAAGTGTCACAATAGTAAAATGATATTTAGTGGTCAGGAAAGAACTTTAGATTGGTTTTTAAACTTTCTTTTGTTAATTTGGTGAATACCTGGGTTTTGGTTCTTCATGTATCCTGGAAACCTGGATTAATTTATGATATTTTCATCCCATTTACTAGAAAAGCAGTGACTTCCTCGGTGTTACACACCAACGACAGCAAAAATAATTGGATCCTAGATCCTTTTCCACTTCTCCCTTCAGCAACTCCCTACTGCTTTGAGCAGAACCGTGCACTAAGAGAGTCATGCATCTCTGTGCCTGAGAGATACAGAAATGAGAGGAATTACAAGTGATTGAAGAGTGAGTTTGGAAAAATACAAATGTATAATTCCAATTCCTTTGGTTTGTGATAGGAAGTTCAGGAGGGATACACTAAAACATCCAAACCGCAAAAACAAAAATGAATAAAAACAGCGATCCCAGTGCGTGTTATACATAGGGTTTAAATTTGTGAACCACGTGAATATGTAATATCATTTAAAGAAAGGGCTGTTTAAAATTGTCTATGGTTTCATCATGATTATCACTTGCAAGTAAAGTTTTGCTGAAGATAACCCCCAAATAGTTGCCAGAGTATATCGACAGAGAACTGCTAGAAATTCAAGCAGGATTCGGAAGAGGGCATGGCATGAGGGAGATCATTGTTGTGTTGGAGAAAGACAGGATAATGAGATTTCTTCACATGTATTCCGATGTGTTTTCCATCGGGCCGTCTCTGCAGAATGTCAGGGTGGGAATGCAGAGGGTCAGTGCACATGAGGAATAAACTCCATGAGATGGACTGACACAGCGCTGCCCCACAGCCTTGACTGTGAGAACCACACGCGTCTGGCTAGCATTTACCGTAGTTTTGTTATATATTTGTTATATATTATCTGATGAGTCAGAGCGGACTGGATGGTGTCTAGTAACAACCCAGTGTCTCAGGGTTGGGTCTTGGAAGAGGGGACAGAGATGTAGCCATAGCTTTTTATAGTTAATGTCTGCCCTTCAAGTAAGACGTGCATCAGCATAGAAAATAGCTCTAAGAAAGGAGAAGGCATAAAGCATGAGCAAGGAAGGGAGAAGGGGTGGGGACATGTAGATGGAGTGAGTGAGTCCTACTAAAGCTACTCTTTTTTTCCTGGTTCTGCAGTGGGAGTGTAACTCTTCCTGACTCTGAAAACGACAAACTGCCTTCAGCTTAGAAGTCCCTCCTGAGACACACACTTGTCCATGGTAGGTGATCTCTGCGGTATGAGACAATGCTCCCAGAAGAAGGGGAGTTCATCTCCCTGGTTATAACTGCAATTTCACATTGTCTTTCAATTCTAGTGTTCCTTCTTCCTGTTTTCTTTAACTGTGTTTTTGCATCAATTTTATTTTATATTTGTATTGATGTGTTTACACCAGCTACCATAAATCTTTTCTGGAATTGGGAAGAGTTTATATCTACCAGGAAAATGCCAACAGGTTATTTCTTAGAGGTGAGATTATAAGTGATTTTAATTGTTTAATGAATAGCCATCTCCAAAATTCCTCTTTTAGTGTGTGTGTGTGTGTGTGTGTATTATTCTAATACATCCAGAAGGCCCTCATGGTAGGCCTTAGAAGAGAGCTATGAAATTTATTCTTCCTTTTTGCCTGGCACGTCTATGAAAATATGGATGGGATTATAGACATATGGCTCACACAAAGCACTTTAAAAAGTTAACCTATTCTTTACATGTCTTTAATTGTATGCACCATAATAGGTGGTAAGAGAGCAAGGTTCTTATTCTAGAAGTTCTCTATAATCTATACTTTATTACACATTGGTTAAGAAGAATAAATCTCTCATTGTACAATATGACACATAGGTAATATTTTTACTCTACAAGGCAAAGACTAAAGCCCACCCCAAAGCAAACAGAATAATTTATTAGAATTCATCTTTCCTTGAGTAGAAAAGAAAATCACGCTAATAACTAATTTCTTTCAGTGTTTTACAAGTCTTTACGACAACACCGCTGGTTATTGATAGCCTAGGAGAAGGCACACTCTTGTTTCAGTGGTCATCGTTTTCTGCATTATGAGTACAAATAATAATAAAAGAATTGAATAAAACATAAATATTGCAGTCTTAACCATAATAAGTGTTTAATAGAACAAATCTTGTAGAAAGTTTATGAATAGAAGTTTCCACATCGGCACGAAAATATGATAGTGTCATGGTTGAGGAAAGTGAAAGAATCGGTCAGAACAAATAGATTGATTGGAAAGCCCCATTCTTTTCTTCCTCCCATTTAGCATGATAAAAACGGCCCAACGCGGAGTCTTTTTTCACCACTTTCTTCTGAACATAATGCATGGCTTAACCTGGACAACCTGCTGTCCAGCTTCTCAGAAACGACGCTAGCCCACAGTTAACAGGGGGACGAGTAGGCGGTATTGAGCTGCAGTCCTTTCCCGATTCTGGAAGAATGTCCATTTCCAGTCTTTTTCCTCAAAATGTTCCTTCGTTATTTCACTCCAATACACCGCCTTGCTCAGGAATGCTCACCTGTCCAAAAAGATGTACAGATGATGTAAGATGTTCCATGCATTTCCGGTTCCATAGACAAAATCAAAATAACCAAACTCCTGGCCATCAAATCAATTTTGACTCATCGGGACCCTAAGGGGCAGAGTAGAATTATCCCTGTGGGTTTCTGGGATGATAAACCTTTTGGAGAATCTTGTTGTTCGGTGCCGTTAGGTCGGTTCCGACTCACAGTGACCCTAAGGACAAGGGCAGAAACGCACCATTGTTCTGATGTTGGAGCGCATCGCTACAGCCACTGTATCAATCCATCTTCTTGTAGGCCTTTCTTGTTTTCACCGCCCCGCTACTTAACTGCGCTGCATGGTGGGAGAAGAAAGACTTAACTTTCTCCCGTGGAGGGCCTAGTGGGTTCTAAGTGCTGACCTTGTGGTTAGCAAGCCCCACGTGTAACCCTCTGCACCGCCAAGGCTCCTCCTGCAGGCAGACAAGCCTTCCCTTCTTCTATTTCGTGCCAGAGTTGCCATGAGTGTTTGGGGCCGAGTCAAGGAATTACATCTCTCAACAAATGAATGTAAAGAGTAAGCAATCGTTAAATTGCCTAGATAATTTTTACTTTGAAACCAAAGGTTTATTTACTTAGAAATTCTGTTTTCAAGATGTTAACAGCTAGCCTGGGGTTTAAAATAAAGGCTGCCAAGAGCATTTAATGAAGTCAACAACCACCATTTAAATAAATACAGCCACATGGTCAATAAACAAATAATTGGGCTGAGTACTAGCTATGAGCACAGGCCAATTTAGCATTTTGTTACCACCAGTCCAATTAGGTAATAGGCTCATGCAGTAAAGAAACCATCTTTGTTGGAGTAGTCCAGTAGCCAAAGAAAGAAACCGCTTGTCCTTTATATCTCAAAGGGACCCTATCAAGCAAAGGTGGAAAGGAAGCTGGAAGTCCAAATTCTTTCCCCAGCATCCTCATGTTCACTTTGGGAAAGGGAGTGGGGATGGATTCACCAACCCCTTATATAAAGGTATTATTCCTAAAAATGGATCTTTCAGTTTAATGGAGCCTGAAAAACAAAAACATCAGCAACCAGGAAGTGGTCTCTGGATCTATGAACCAAAAAAAAAAAAAAGACAGTCATTGGTCGATTATCATTATTATTTACTGCCACTGAACGGATCCCAAGATAGATGGGGCAGAACTGTCCCTGTGGGTTTCTGAGACAGTAACTCTTTATGGGAGAAGAAAGCCTCATCTTTCTCCGACATCGACAGGCAATATTTACTCTATTTGGGGATCTTTATTTTATGACGATAAGTAGTCTTTAATTAAAACAAGCAAAGAGGAGCCCAACATAATAAGATCCCACTGGCCTTCTGGAGGGATAGTGGGATGACTTAACAACATCTGGTTTTCCTTTTCAAACTAGAAACGCATACCTCTATCAGGGTCCTTCCTCACTCACCCAATTCCCCTTCCCCCAGGATACTTGGAACAAGAAGGAATTCCCTGCCACGCTCCACTAGAGGTGTGCTTACCACTCAGTTAGCCCTTAAATGATGTCATGGTCTGCTCACGTCCAGGTTTCCTCCCCATAAGACCATTTCTTATGCATTTGTTCACTCTTAGCTGTTACTGTTGATATTTACCCACAGGTGTGTGCACGGGTTGCTTTGTTCAAACGGCGTCTTTTGCCAGAGGGGAAGTTCCTGTGTGTGGTTATTGATGTTCTCTTCAAAGTCAATATATGACAAATAGAGAAACCATGGAAGATGATAGTGGCAGTTATACCTGCAGGCAGTTATGACCCACAAAAGGGGGAAGTTCAGTTCACGCCTTCACAAGACTGTGGCTGTAGTTTTTCCATGGCAGAGAAGGGAGATTCCTTAGTGGCGCCTTAAGGTTATCTGGATAAGTAGAAGGCCTGGCCACTTTTCTAGCTTTAACCTTAGCACAGGGCAACTGCAAAGTTGGCTGTTCAAACCACCCAGCAACTCTGTTGGAGAAAGGTGAAGCTGTCTGCTTCCACAAAGATACACCCTCAGAAACCTCATGGGGGCCATTCTGCTCTTTCCTAGAGGGTCACTGTGAATTAGCATCGATTCTGTGGCAATGAGTTTGGTTTGGGGTTTGGTGTAGAGGCTGGTCCTCACTGGGGTTCGCTTCACATGAAAATGGATGGGATCATGCACTCTCCAGCAGGTCCATGGGGGAAAGTTGAGGCCCTTTGCTTCAGGCAATGTTGACAGTCACAGAAATCCTATATGGGATCACTAACAGGGTTGCTCTGAGTCAGAATTGACTCAATGGCGGTGAGTGATGACGCAAACTTGGCTTCATGGCAATGGGGTTGTGGGGCTCTGATGGTGCAGTGGGCTAAGCACTATTGCTACTAATTGAAAGGTCAGTGGTTCAAAACCACGAACTGCTCTGCAGGAGATAGATATGGCAGTCTGTCTCAGTAAAGGTTTACAACCTTAAATGTCCTTGAAGGAGCCTGGTGGTGCAGTGAATTGGGCTGCTAACCGTAAGGTCTGAAGCTTGATATCACAAGCAGCTCCTCGGGAGAAAGACAGGACTTTCTACTCCCTGTAAAGAGTTACAGTCTCAGAGACTCCCAGGGCAGTTCTCCCCTGTCACTGTGAGTCCGATTGACCCCACGGCACGGAGGGGATATGTGAGTGTGAGTGAGAAATCCTCTGAGGAGGTTCTTCTCGGGCCTGGAGGGAGCTGTGCGCTGAAATCAACTTGATGGTTAATAGGTTTGGATTTGGGTTTGGGCTTGATGCGGTGGAAGTTCTATTGGCACCCCCATAGGGGGGTGGTCTCTGCAGTGCGGACACTACTATAAATCACAGCCAAACCAATGACCATGGACTTGATTCTGACTCATGGTGATCTGTGTGTTTCAGAGCAGAACTGTGTTATTTAGTTGCTGTGCTATTTCAATAGTAGCTGGCTAGGCCTTTTAAAAAAGGTATTCCTGGGTAGATTTGAAATGCCAATATTTTGGTTAGTAACTGAACACTTAATCATTGGCATCACCTAGGGATGCAAAATTACCACTAAAACCAACCAACCAACCAACCATTGGTAGCCTACAAGTTGATTTCCACTCATGATGACCCTATGTGCTCCATAGGGTTCTCAAGGCACCTCTGGGTGGGTTTGATCTGCCAACTTCTCAGTTAGTAGTTGAACATTTAACTAGTTGAGCCACCCAAGAATCCTCAGAAACCACAATAGCCACCAGAAAACCATTAAGATACCTAAGACGGCTGGAGAATGGGGCTAACGTTTCCTTTCCTGCTCTGGGAAAGGGGAGATAGCCTCAACCCAGCCTTTGACTTCAGACTTCTGCAGCTAGTCCACTGGCCCGGGTGCCGATTGTAGGTATTTGTATTTTAGTTCTCAAAATGACTTCCAGGTGTATTCAAATGCACAGAAGCGGTACATTTCTGTTTTAGAATTTTCCTTTTGAGTCTTTCACTATATTTGAAGGGTAAGCACAGGCTGCGTGCCGAGCTTTTCTGCTATCGCATCACCAAGCGCAGATTCCCACTTACTGGGCGTGGTCTTGTGGGGCAGGAGCATACTGAATCACTTCATAGATCGTGGTGCTGCGTCGCTCTTGCGCTGATGCACCATCGGAGGTCAGAACAGAGCTACTTGGCAGCTAGAAATGTGATACATCAAAAAACAAAGTTAGTGGAAGACTCGCAGCTCACTTCTCCCTTATGTTCATAGTCGAACACACCACCAGTAGTGAGGGTTAGAGAATCCGAACGTTTGTCTTCTTTAAAGTGCTCCATTTTCTCTTGGCTACAGAGCCCTGCATTGAGCCCACGGTAGTTGTGCAGCAGCACAGCTCCCAGGTCAGAAGAAGAAGAGCTCAACAAAACTATCGCTTTTGTTCTTCATGAAGAGGAAAATTGGCAGTACTATAAGGAAATAGAGTAGAAAGAAAAGAACAGCAAAAGAAGAGCTATCAAGGCAGCTTAGAGTCAGAGAGCATATACCATTATTTTTCATATTACATCTCCATTACCCTCTTGACAGTAGTTGCCAATTATGTGTGCAAGGGTGACTGAAAAGAGAAAATAATATCTAGATCAGAGCCCTCATCACGTTGCATGAATAACGACAGCACTAAGCAAGAGGAGACATGAAGGGAGAGGTTTTGGTTTGGATGCAGTAATGGGCTCTGAAAGCCAAAGGCTCTTGGATGAAATGTGCAAAGCATAGTAGTATATATCTGTCTGGTAAAAACCAACATCCATTTTACTGAAACTGGAATTCGTGCTTTATTAACTTCCAATTGTGTCTCAGACTTTCCCTGTTCCTGTAAGCACTGCTCTCCGATTATTTCTCACTCACTGCCATGGTGTTGTTTCTGGCTCACAGTGACCCTCTAGGACGGGGTAGAACTGCCTCTGTGGGTTTCCAAGGCTGTTACTCTTCACTGGAATGGCAAGCCTCAGCTTCCTCCCTTCCAATTACTTAGCCATCCCCAATTATTTCCCTTCCCAATTCCAAACGCTCCTGATTCTCATACATTTATGACTATGTTCTTAAAGTCAAATCAATGGCAATGGGTGGGGATAACCACTTCCAGTCCTTCTTATTTGTATATCCTCACTCGGAAGACGCGTTGTCTTTGACAACGCTCAACAATCTACTAGTAGAGCTGCTGACAAGTAGTTACTTTCATTTTATACAGTTGCCTTCTCATCAGCTCCACAAAGACATTGAGCACATAGACAGGTACAAGAGGTAGAAAAAGAGTACCTCTCTGTACTGACATCACAGCAAACGAAGAGATTGTTTTGATTTTTAAAAACTCAAAAAATTAGTAATCAAATGTATTCCCCTTCTAAATCTGAATTCCGAGACTTTGGTTTTATGATAAGTACCCTTCTCTTCTCAAGGCTAATATGCTTGGCTGCTAATGTTCACATATTGCTGCCATGCTGGCTCCTTCTCTCAGACATCTTCCCTCTCGTGTCCTAATCCTCATCGTCCTCCTTTACTTGTTGGCTTGCATACTCACTTCCCAACACACCTGCTTGGCTCAGTCTACTAAGAACCTCAACAGATTCCTTAGGGGTTGTTAACTCTGAAGGCGGCCATGGCTTGGAATCAAGTTATTCATTGATGAGAGCAAAAAAGTGGGGCTCCTGTTTTTCAATCTCAGCATTCATTTCTCAGCCTCAAGTTCGTGATGACTGTAGAGTTTTTTGAGCCTCCCAATGGAGGTCCACCCAATACCACCTTAACACGGAACCCTGGTTAATCACATGAAACCCTGGTGGTGCAGCAGTTAAATGCTGTGATGACAGAGAGAAAGGATGGCAGTTTGAATCAACTGGCTGCTCAAAGGGAGAAAGATGTGACAATTGGCTTCAGAAAGATCCCAGACTTGGAAACTACAGGGCATTTCTACTCACTCCTCTAAGGGTCCTTATGAGTTGAAATGGACTCAAAGGCAAGGACTTGAAGTTGATCGGAAGGCACAATTTAAAGTTCCTCAGCTAAATCTCATTTCTTTCTAATGAATCCTAGGAGTAAAAAATTACTTTAATTGGAGAGACTTCTTATTTCAGTAATTCATTTATAGTGCTTATCGGCACTTGAGTTCTCTGTTCTCCTATTTAATGTCATACTTCAGAGGGGCGATTTCCACCACAAAGAGCGCAGGGTTTGGAAATAATTGGTCCACTAAGAATTTATTTATATCTTTCTGATGGTGGAATTGACCAGTGAGTCAATCTAGTTTGGGATTGATTAGGGAACGGCAAAAAGCTTGCAATGTACTTTGCTCCACCATGCTGTGGGCACTGGTGCTGTTTACACACCATTAAACCAACTCATCGACAGCCCTGGAGTCAACTCTGCCTCATCGCATCCAAGGCTGCAAATCTTGATGGGAGCAGATAGCCTTGTCTTTCTCCCAGGGAGTAGTTGGTGGGTTTGAACCACCAACCTTGGTTTGCACTCCAACATTTGCAGACAGTGCTACCATTCACTACTACCTCTCCCCTCCGAAAGAACCCACTGCCATACAGTCAATTCTGACTCATAGCCACTCTACAGGAATCAAACTGCCCTTTGGGGTAACCTAGGCTGCACATCTAACAGAAAGCTTCATCTTTCTCCCCAGGAGGAACTGGTAGAGCCAAACTGCTGACTCTGTGGTTAGCAGCCTAACACGTACACCATGATGCCACCAGAGCTCCTCCAAAAATCAAACCAAATTCGTATCATTGAGTTGATGCTGACTCACAGCAACCCTATAGGACAGGGCAGAACTCTTCCCCGGGGGGTTTCTGAGCTGGCGACTCTTGCCAGGGGCAGAAGCCTTGTCTTTTCCCCACCGGGCACCCAAGGAAGGATGAAATCCAATCGTCGACCCCTCCCTACTATGTACAAGGCATTTGTGACAGTAAGTCTGTTGCCAGGAAACTTGATGAAAATTGATGGAATGTTCTGAACAAATGAGATAACTATTTCCTTATAAGAAATAGTTCTTTCAAAAAATGGAAATGAAAATTCCCAGAAGCCCTTCCTTAAGTGAACTGCCACAGGGACAAAAGAAGCAGATGAAAGGCTGATCTTAAGGAAATTCTATCAACATGTTAATGAGCTCATTAGTGAAGAGCTACTCTCTGCATGTCTGTTTAAAACAAAACCCAATGGCTTAAAAAACCCTGTATAAAACTTTTATCTTTCTCTACTTCACACATCATTAGAATGATACGAAAGATGCATGTTTTTGTGTTTTGGGATTACCTGGTACTTTTTCTTTGGAAGGGACTGAAGGAACCTTCAAGAGTTTGGTCAGTTGTTTTTGTAACGTCCTCACAAGATGTGAGGAAGAAATGATGGGGAAATTGAGGGCAGTGAAACGGCTGGCTGCAGACACTGAAGTGATACAGAGATTGCTGAAACCTTGGCTTCCAGATCTCCAATGGATTCACTTTCCTTGACTTTCAACCTACTTAGTTTCCCCTTGAGCTTACCAGATAAAGACTATGTATGAGATGACTTAGTCTTTTTTCCGCTAGCTTACTTATAAAGGAAGCAGAAGATGCCTATGCTCCCAGATCTGGTAAAGTCGTCCATTCCAAAGTAAGCCAACATCTGACTGACCACACCACCGAAGTGCTCACTGAACACTGCTTACACCGCTGGTGAAGCTGACTGCTACCTAAGTGTCTAAGCAGTCACTAGAAAACCAACCCTGGGAACACCAGCAGCATCTGGAAAAGTGACAAACTCATAGATTCCGAAGTCATCGAGAGCATCTTCATGGCCTGAAATGGAAAACAAACACTACTGAAAGTCCAATGTCTTGGGTTGCTCTTGTTGTTGATTAAAACAAATAAATCAGAACCTTTGTAAACTTAAATATTTTGTCTCCTTTAAGGGGTATATGTACAATCAAAACCAATTTTAAACTTTCTAGTTCCCTATAATCATGTTTCCATTAAGCAGGGCTAGCCATGACTTCTTCTAAAGCTAAGAATGGAAACTGTGTAATCAGCAGAATTGGAACCATTTATATGAAAGCCTAGTGTGAGATCCTCGGTTACCAGAATTGTACAAACGTGAAGTGTTAGCATGGAGTCCATCATAACCCTTGATCCATCCACCTTGGTTGATCTAATAGAGAACCCCCCTCAAATTAGAAAGAATAAATTAAAAACTATAGCTGTCCACCCACACAAAATACAACACAACACAATCTAAGTGTCACCTAAAGGAACCTCTAAAATGCCTGGGATTGGGAAGGAGCAGATCGTCTCTGGAGCCCTTTCCAGCTGTGTCATTCTATCATTTGAGTGAGAACGTGTTAGAAAACAGGAAGAAGCCTGCCCTTCATTAAGCACCTGGGAGTCATGTGAGACACTCCACCTGCTTAGTTTTATTCAACATTTATAACACTCTTAGGAGGAAATTACTATCTCTATTGTATAGATGAGGAAGTTAAGATTAGACAAAATAATAATTAATTTCCCTAGGGTGACATAGGACAAAGTGACATGTATGAGACTGAACCCCAGCTCTGTGTGACGTGCAGTTTCAGTGAAAGTGACATTGTTCACTTGTGATGTGAGTCCTTCTCAGCCACCTCAACTTCTTTTCCTACGACAGAGCTGCTCCCTTTGCATCTGCCTTGGGGACACCCCCGAGAGCTTTCACCTGGGATTAACAAGAGTGAGAGCATGCTTTGCCATTTTCAAAATAATACCAGGATGAACAGACTGGAACTCAGCAGGACGCAGTGACTGTGCGAGAGTGAATCTCTCTGACTCTTAAGAGGTCTTGTCCTTAAAAGGAAGTGTCTACCTGGCTTACTTTACAGACTTGTGTGACTTAATAAAAATCAGCACAACGGCGCAGCACTTTTTCCAATGAAGTACCGTACAAAAGTAATATATCATTGCTATGTTAATATTTCCTTATATCAATTAATTATATGAATAGTATACTGTACATGATAATCTAAATCAATAAAATTAACTAATATACACTGACATTCATAATAGCTTCTGTTAGCCTGGCCATTACCTGAAAATGTTTGAGCCTTCCCATATTCTGTTTCTGGTCTGAAAAGATAAATAGGCGCTTCTGTCAGGGATAATAATTGAAAGAAAAGAATTCAAGGGAAAAATTGTAGAAATGAATGAATTACCTGCCTTCTAGCTTCTGTCTTATGACTAAATCCAAGGGAGCGAGAGAGAAGCACGGTTACTCTTTGGGGGCATATACACAACCATCTTGTTTTATTTTCTTTGCTCATTTTAACCTACCTCTGTAGGGTTGATATTTCTTCCACAGGAAGAGAATACTCATAGATATAATCAAAAATAGTGATATTCCAGTTATACTTGCTAAAGGTGACAATGATTTTCCTCTGTGTGCAAGCTTTTCCAGCCCTATGTAAAAAACAAACAAACAAACAAATACACTATTGATATTTTCTTAAAGGTCTGTGAATTACTATGTAGTTTTATTTGCTCATGGTTTATCTTAAATGAGAAACTACTATAAGATTTTAACATACTATGATGATTTCAGATTTAATTTTTTTTCTTTGTCACATCTTTTTAGTTCAAAGTGATACTATTTGATTAACGAAACTTCAGAATTTTCTGTCATTATGCTGGATAAACCTCTTTAATCTTATGAAATGCTCATTAAAAAAAATCTGAAGTCATGTGTCTTGTAAGGAGATCTGTTGGCGTAGCGCTTTACATTGGGCTGCTGCTAACTGCAAGGTTGGTAGTTCAGCCCCAGCAGTCTCTCTCTTGAGAATGAGGAGGCTTTCTGTTTCTGTAAAGGAAACCCCAGGAGCAACTCCACTGACCTACGGAGTTGCTATAAGTCAGAATTGTGGCAGTGAGTTTGACTTTTTGAAAATGTATCTTGTATTAAAGTCTAATTTGTGTGATATTAGTATAGCTATATCAGGTTATTTTAGCTAATATTCCTATAGTTTATTTGCTTATCCTTTGGCTTTAAACATTTCAGTATCCTTATATATAAGCCAGAAAAAATTAAGTCCAGTTCAGTACTATTTGTGTTTCAATTGGAGCCCATTGATATTTACTGTATTTATTAATATATTTCAGTTTAAATATCTGATTCTTTCTGTATATAAACATTTTGTTTATTTTTATCTTCTTTCTTGAGTTATTCATAATTTTATTTTATTCTGCTTTTCCTTACTATTTGCTTATTAGGTATACTTTTAGTGGAGACACTAGAGATTAAAACATGCATCCTTGACCTATTAAGGTCTTATATAAATGAATACATTTACCACTTACTACTTTCCATCCAATTCCACCAATTCCACATATTCAAAATGGCCAGAGTAAGGACTCCGGTTTTGACTTCATAATGTCCGAATGCAGTAATGCCTGTTTATAATGCTATGCTCTTTCCATCATCCCAGTTGGACCATTATACACACTTAATCTTCATGTATTGACATGATTAAGTTCCATAGGTTAAAACTGGGATTATTAAAAAATGGAGGATGGAAAAAAAAAATGGAGGATGATCACACAAGACCACAAAATAACTACAACGTCACATATCTGCCAAATTACTGAGCATCATGCCCCCGCCGAGTGAACACAGCCTTAGCTCCCACAGCCAGAGGCACAGCATTTATTACTACCTGTTGTGTCTTAGTAACATGAAAGACAGTCCAATGGTAGATCTGTTACAGATAACAAAGTCATCTCAGAAAAAAGTATTTGCTACATCTTAGAAGTGCAGCTGGAATAAAAGTTTATCTGGACAGAAGATTAATTAGTAAATTATTCTGCTAATACATGGTAAAAAAATTATTTTTGCAATTGGCAGGCGACCTTCTATAGGATTTCCCTCAGAGGAGCTGATGGGTTTGAACTATAGACCTTGTGGTTTCCAGGCCCAACCCTGGCCACAGAGTGCCACCAGGACCCCAATATATTCCATTTCTTTCTTTAATCTTTCCTAACAAGACTTTGTGTGCTTCAATTCATGCACTCCTTGGTAGCCAGGCTGCTTTGACCCCTACACAATAATAGCCCTTCGCCTGCAAAAATAATTCAATACTAATTTGTTCTATCTAATTCCCAAAAAGTACTTTTCCCTGAGTTACAGCCAGCCTCAGAAAAGCATTTTCGTATAGTCTTCTAAAATAAAAATGCCCAATGCACCAAAGATTAAATTGAAAAAAGAAAGTGTAGTAGCTATGGGCTCAACTCTAGGGAGGTATGTTGTGGAGAGAAACAATTCTAGCAGCCCAATTTCAAAGTAAGACAGCGGGAACATTCAGATTTTTCGCCACAGAGAGTGCATAAGGTCGCCTAATGCAGAGAGCCCCCGTGTGTGGACAGTTTATGCCATTCTCCCCCATTATTTAACCAGGATTGGATCATTTACCAAAGCCATAGTGCAAATGCTACTTGCCCCCTCCTTAGGTAAACAAATAAAATGAAATAACATGTCAAGTGCAAATAAGGGCAAGAGGTGTGGTAGCCATGGTATCGTAACCCTGCTGTCTGAGAGACTGCACCCCAACAAGATAGCCATATGCTATCAGTCACTGCCTGTGTTTGTAGAACAGAATGAAGTCCCGAGGCCTCTCCTGGCCAGTCTGTTCACGGATATGGCAGCTGCTACACATCCCTAAAGGCGCTTACGGCACCTTCTCCAGCGCCATGCTGTGTCTACACACCACCGGGGTTCCGTGCTTTCAGCGATGTCACCTCCAACAGCAGGGTCTGGATGCCAATGCTGCTGTCCTATCTCCCTCTTCTCTCCAGGGGCCCAAGGAAAGAAATCAAACCTCTGGAGATCTTGACTCGAGAAATTCCTAGCTAGACAGAAAAAATATATAGTAAAACCATCATCCTCTCTTGGGCAGTTTTCTTGTTCTCTTCTTTATAAAAACTAGTAAAATGGCAGATTTCTCAAAATCACAGATAAATCCAAAAGACTCATCAAAGAAATCAAAACAAAAACCTAACAGCCAAGCTGGTTCCAACTCATGACAGCCCTACGCAGGGTTTCTGAAGCTGCAAATATTGATAGGAGCACACAGCTGCAGCTTTCTCCCAGGAGTCGCTTGTGGGTTTGAGCCCCTGACCTTGCGGTTAGCAGTCAAACACATCCCACAGCACCATTAGAGGTCCAGTCAACTAAAGCCATGTGTTCTTTTTTTTTTTTAAACATTTTACTAGGGGCTCATATGACTCTTATCACAATCCACACACACATAAATCGTGTAAAGCGCATTTGTACTTCATTCTCAAAACATTTCCTCTCCACTTAAACCCCCGACATTAGGTCCTCATTTTTCCCCTCCCTCTCCGCTCCCCTCTCCCTCATGAACCCTTGAT